GGAATGCATTAGCAAAATGTTTCCACCAGCAGGAGTTGTCATTTTGTATCTGTGCAAGCTGTTGTTTGAGGAAAGTAACAGTGTTTGGAAAGGAAAAGTAGCTTTCTGCAATAGAAACACAAGTCTATGCTTTCATTACGATACCTCTGTTGTCTATAGTCTTATAAAGTCTGACTGGCGAACAATTTCCTACAGACTGGCAGTCACCGCCACGAAAATCTGGACAAAAGTAATTCTCTAAGTATGCAAATAAACTGAAAGGTCAAGGCAGCAATAGAAATCTGATTACCTCTGGTAACTGGGGTATATTAAACCTTTTCATTCTGGCAATCCAAATATTTAATCAATATTTACTTTGAAAAACAAACACAGCAAAGCATAGCCCCCCACACTACACGTTAGAACTACACTACACTACTTCTCTCTTGGGCATGCCTATCATTTTTCACACATTCATTTGTGAATGACTGAAATTCTGTATGTCTTGTTTACCATAAAATGTTCATAAAGTAAAAGGGTGAGGCTGGGGCTCAGAAACTGAAACCTCTGGTGTAGCTGTAACTAGGAGCAGACTGCCACAGTAACACTTCTAGATGTTCTTAACTATCGGCATGGCCAGGAAGCAATTACTAAGCTTACTATTCATTGCCTCCCTTCCCTGCAACTATTCCAGTTGCGGAGGGTTACTTGTTTTTAAAGACAGTCTTTCCTCAGCCATTTGGCTTTTCCGTAACAAAACCCTGTCTAATTTCTTTGGGGGAAAAAAGAGGAGAAAAAGGTAATCTTACAAGTCCTTTTCCACCTTGCCCACACTTCGACATACCAGAATTTTAAACCTAAATGCCTTCCTGTTCTGAGGGCAGAGAGCTGAGCTGTGAAATGTGCAAATTTTAACTGACTGACGTCTTCTAATTTGGTTGAGATGTGGCAAACACTGTAAAAAACAATCCTGTAATACCAATGGCACAACCAGCAAAATCTGTATCTATTTCCACTGTTAGAAACGGAATGTATGACACTGTTTTTGCAAGAATTCAACTCTTAAACTTGTGCATTATCGCACAGGGAGTCAAGTGCTTTTTTCATTTTAATTTTGTGCTGCTAGAAGTAAAATTTCTAGAGCACATAACTAGACGCTGGTTTTGTTGTTTATTAAATATTATAATAAAAAGAAAATGGGCAGAATGTAAGTGCAATGATGATGAAAAACATTGTGCAATATATTGAAAGGAAACAAATTTCCAGGTCACAGATTCTTGTACCTTCCTAGCACAGGCAACTACTACATACAGTCTCACTCAAATTTATGACACTGCATCTTAGAGCTAGTAGACTGTCTGTCCTAACTATTCCTATTGAAAGGCTTTCCAGAATTCACTGTTCAGATGAGAAATTTAATTTATGATCTAGATGTACTCTTTTCAATTTACAGCACATAAATTTGCTTTTATGTGCTTTATGCATTTCTCCTTGCACAAATCGGTCCAGCTGTTACAACATGTATTGTTAGAAATCAGTTCTGTCCCCTCTCAGCCTGGATTGACCCAATCAGAATTTTTAAAGTCTTCTCTTACAAGATTGCTACTTTACATCCCTGATTAACCTTTCGGCACCTATTTCAATCTGAATGAACTTCTCCTGAATACAGGTGACAAAGTTATGTGGAGTATCCTAGGAGAGGTTGTCTTCAATGATGGTTTGTTTTTACTCATAATGTATCATCTGGCACATATCAGAAAATATATGTCTTATTTAAGGCTTTAGCTGTTGGTGACTTACCAAATGGCAAAGAAAAAAAATGTTCCTACTGTCATTTTTGAGTTATATTAATATATAATTTCAATGGCTGAAGAAAAAAACATTCTCAAATAAATACTTGAATTTGTCTTTTCATTTAAATTAGGTGAGGTTTGTTTTGTTGAAAGCCACTTTATCTAGTGTTAAACAGTGGAGCAGTAACATGAAAGCCTGACATGTAACATTTCTTAGGAGGAAAAAATACTCTAAAGCACTGATCTTAATCTGTTAAGTCTTTTAAAAACTGTCCTAAAGCTTTAGCTAAGAGGAGAGGTATCTTCTCCCAGCACTAACTCTAACAGTTAAAAATACATTTCTAGTGTCTTAACTCAATTTTGGGATAAAATGCTGCAGCTGCAGAGACTAAACATAAGCTAATGCTGGATCAGGCCAAGCTCTTACTAGTGTGAGCCACAAAGACAGCTAGTCACAGTGGAAGAACAGCTGTTCAGCCTGCTCTGTTTATCTTATCATTCAAATGCATTTTAATATTTGCTCCAAAAAATCAACAAACTGATCTCATCTCCCTTTTGCCAAATCTGCCTTTAATTTACACTGTGCAATAGCCAAGATCTTAGTGTTTCATAAGCAGCAAAACCCTTGAAAAACTCATGTTGTATCACTTGTCTTCAGAGAAGATGAAAATTGCTTCTTTTGATGGGATGTACCACTGACAAGATGCTGCTTTAATTCATTAATGATATGGAAAGATGACCTAGAAAAATAAAATTCCCTCATGCCATTGGAATGAGGAAAGCTAAAATCAAGAGGAATTTTGCCTGTAGGCCAAATATTACTTTTTCAATACAGTAAGAGGTGACAAGATCAGGGGCAAGGGGGGGGAGAGAAAGCAGCAAGTCAGAAATCCACAGTTATGCAGCCTGAACACCACAGAGCAGGGCAAGGTGGGCAAGGACAGCACGTGCTCATCACACCTTACTGATGTAGTAAAGAGGAGCTGTGTACATCGCTATGGGCGCCTGTTGCCAAAGCCAGCCCGTCCTGGGGCCAAGGGTTTGACTTCAGGGGCAGGCTGGCCAAGTGACTGCTGCAGGGACTTGGTGTTAGTCATAGGGATTTCGTTCATTGTGTCCTAAATGATGCACCAAAGGAACAAGAGATCTCCTACTTCTCTGTCCCTGCCTCACCAGTAATATCTGTGCAAACCAAAATATTGCTGTGACTGGGATTTCTGGAGAAATATAAGGAGATTGAGAATGGGGTGTAGAACTTTTCGCTAAAGGGAAATGGGTTGAAATAATGTTCAGATTCAATAAAATCATTGCCATGAGACAGCTGTTTAGTGGCTTTCAAGTTCCCTTGTGTTACATTCTCGGGTTTTGTACATGGTATTGTTTTTGGTTCTTGCAGTTTGACTTTTAGCTTAAAAAGAAAGCTGTCCACAGGTGCAGACTAGCTGGAATGAATATCAGGCTTTCTTTCTATCTTTAGATGTAGACATGAACTGACACAGAAACATCTGCAAGGAAGAAACACATCAGTACGCTTAAAACCAACTCTTTGTTCTCCTCTAAGATGATCTGAAAATCCAATACCCACATTATGAGTCTTATATAATGCCCCTGTGGCAAGTATTATTTAACCAAATACAGATGTGTTGACTGTCAGGAGAAGCAGCTCTCCTGTCCAGCACCAATTACTTGTGCATGTTCTTTTGGCAACAGCTCAGTTATGTGCAGCATCCATTCCTTTCAGTGTAACAAAGGTGAAAAGTTCAGCTATCTCTAGACAAGGCACTGCTATTTGAGCAGAAAAACATTAAAAACCATGTTGGGACAGTGTTGGATTTGCAAAATATACACACTGGTAAGAAGGGGCAAACAGAGCCAAATCCATCAAACGTGTCCAAGCCCCAAATCCATAAGTTCAGAGCCTTTCCTCAGGACTCACCTTAACTTTGGCAGTACATTAACTTCTGACAATAAAGATACTAAATCTCTTCTGGTAGCAAGTCCTGCTGGTGATTCTTGACAGACTGAGCTGCCAGCTGGCATCAGAGCTCTGTTCCCAAGCTACACCCTCTCTGGGCCTATTCCTTGCACAGTAGAAGGGGAGACAGTAGTATCTCAAAGTACTCGGTATCTCCAGGAGAGGAGCTCTCTCCTGGGAGTCAGAGCCCAGGAGAGTCAAAGTCAGTGCAGCTTTAAGGGAAAGCTGAATTCCCTGTGCGTTCCCCACTGTCAGTGGGCACTCTCACATCAGCTTGGGGTAAGGAAATGGGGCTGGAGAAAACTGTGAGTAAGGATTGGTTTACCTTGGAGACACTCAGCAGAGAGACACCTCTCTCTCACCAGTTCTGTAGGTTGAGATTTTTGCTTTATAGCTATGCCTGATGCCTGCCTAGCTCTCCTTACCATGCTGGCTTTTGGGGCTCTTCCCTAGGAGCCCAACTCTCCCCATGAGGACCTGAGTTCCTAGATGAACCATAGGCATCCTGCATGGTTGACAGTTGCCTAAAAGTTAATCTTTGCAATGATGATCACTGTGATGTGCAGAGAGCATGCATGTTCTTTCCTTATGCTTCTACAAGTAATTGAGAAAAAAAAAAAAAAACCTGATCTAAAAATTCTCAAACCAACCATTGTTGTACTTTCTCCAAGTAGTAATATAACTTAGGCACTCGTGTAAAACAGGGGAATCAAGACCCCTGCATACCTTTGTATATCTGGTTGTGTATTTTGGTTACTACATATCATGTCTGACTTTTTGTTTTATTACTATGATTGATGACATTGGCATTGGAACATTTCTAACCTCAAAATATACCACAAGCAACCTGGACCTGAATATATTATGAACTGCAAAGAGGGCCCTTCATGATTGTAAAGTGGCTTGATACTCTCAGAGCTAGAGACAGAGTAAGGAGATGAGATCCAATAAAGAAACAAGCACAAGCCCTGAAAGTTTCCAGACCAGTAAAGGACTAGTAAACTGGTTATAAAGTCAAAATGCAATGCTGATGCAAAATAGGGAAATTTAAGAAAAGTAATCTGTTTTTGAAAATGGTAGAATATGTGCCGATCTTTTAAGTCTTGATCAAACCTCCCTTGATAAAGGGATCTATACTGGTGAAAAACTTGGTTATTTTTGTTGCTTATTAACAGAAAACAAGAGAAAAGGACAAATTCTTCCATAGATACTGAAGGTAAAATGAGGAACAAGACTTCATCTTTTTTTCCCTAAAAAGAGAAAAATTCAGATCAGATTTTTAAGAAAAATTATCTTTTTCTGGAAAAAGAGAATTAATTGAATGGCACAGATTAAAAAACCTGAGTTGTCAGCAACAGAGTTCTTCAGAAGCAGAATTCTTAGAGGAGCAGGGCAGATAGTTAAGTGTGTCAAATGTGAACCTGATGAGCCTTTTCCAACACTAACATAGTTGAGTGCAAAATTAGCGTCTTACTTCAATCTGAGGATGTGACATCTCAAGCTACAAACTTTTTATGTTCTGATAAAAAAGATTGCCTTAATTATTTAAGCCCAATTAGGGTTTGAAACACCACCCAGCACATAATTTTTTCTTGACTTTGTATTTCACAGTATGTTGCTCCTTATAGGTCATTTTGGAGCAAACTGTTATATATGAAAACACCTTGTAAAATGAAACATAGTGGAAAGCTAGTACCTTCTAACTGTACTCAGATAATCATTCCCTCCTCTCCTTTCTTTTAATTCCCATACATTCCTTCTGCTCTGCTTACTCCTGCCCTAACCACTGTACGTATATTTATGAGAGAAACAGCCATCTGCATCAGACCTTCCTGTCCCAAATTACCTTGTCGGACCTCGTTAGAACTATAATGAGCCTAAAATGGACAATGGGCTTGGGATAGAAGTTTTAGGCTCTTTTCCCAAGTCTGGCACAGGTCTAGTACAACTGAAGTTTTCTCTTTTTCATTGTTCCTTCAGTAAAATAAAGATTATTTCTCTTTTAGCATTGACGGTAATTACCACATTGCAAAGTAATGTTTTGTAACAAAAATAAGTTTTGCAGAAGATTATAGCAAAAATGAATTATATCAACTAATCTGAGTTCAGGGAAGTTAAATTGTTACTTCTCCACGTATTTATTTACTTAGACAATTTGCAGAAGAGTTCCAGATTTCTGCAAAAGTCACATAATTATTTATCAGTGATGATGCCCTATGGAAAGCCATATGCACTGATTACTTAACGGCCCTTATTAGACTATTAAAAAGAAGTTATTTAAACAAATATTTGTTTGACTGCTTTCACAGAACTTTTTATCTATATGTCATTCCTGCCTTTTCCTTCTGTTATCCCACCAATTACAAATGCACTTTATTTCTAAGTGGGTCACTCCATTGTAGGAGAGATTATGTGAATTCTTCCTCAAGGAGCTTGGGAATTTATGGAGAAAAGTAAGATTAGAGGCACAAGGGGTAAGAAGCTGGTACAATACTATTGCCTGAAAGGATATATTAGTCATCAGAGCTCAACTTATTATAGAAATTATTATAAGATAGAAGAAGGAATCAGTATTTAAGTATAATTAGATGACGTACTCCTCAGTCATTATTGTTACTTAGAATAAATATTTTTGGGTTAATAAAACCTTTTAATTTTTCATTATGTTTCTTTATAAACAGATGTTCCCAATTTATCATTGATTTTGTACTAACTACTGATTTGAAGTCTAAACCAGGTAGATGAAGGTAGGTGTTTGTCACTAGCTGTCATCATTTCAAAATCTGGATAAGAATTTAGTATTTTCTAATCTCTGTAAAGCAACAATAACAACTTCAAAAATCCAAAAGCAAAAACGGTATCTTTCCTTTCTTTAGCCCTTTTCCTTTATAGCTGACAGTAGAAATAATAAATATGTAGGATGTGCTAGAGAACTATTTATCTGGCATTTTCCGCTTGTACTGTGGCTTTTATTACTGCATAAAAAGTGGTAGGGAAAAAGTGGTTACTTCAGAGTAACAAGCCTCCAGCCACAGATGCCATGAAACTGTGTTTTTATTATATTGGCTACAGGGAAATGTTATTTTAGTTGTTGTTTTTGTCTCCACTCCATGCAAGCCAATTCCAGCCCTTTCAAGCACTTCTCAGGCACCAGTTTATCCATGTTGGGAGTCATTTTCATAATCAGTTCACAAGCTGTTTCCCATTTTCACTGTACCTTTGTTCAGCTATGGTTAAAACTCATTGTACATCCTCCCTAAAAAGGATGCAAAATATATTATTCTTTAAGCAGAACAGCTAAATACTTTCCCAGTGCTGGACAATAGCTTGCAACCACAGCCTTTTCTTAATGTACCAAGAAACAAAGACTAAGATGAGTAGAAAGGGTAAAACGTTTCCTTATGACTGAACTAGGAGGTTCTCCACTAATACCAAAAATGAAGTCTGGACAAACTGTGTGTCCCTTATATATATTAACTTTGTAGAAGCACAATGTTTGTTTTTTTATGGAAAAATATCCTTATTTCCTTTCTAGTCCTCTAAGAAAAAAGGTTTTTGTCCAATATTTTTTAAACTGAGGGAAAAAAATGTGACAAACATCATTGTCAACTGGCTCCCACACATAAATTGCAAATGTTGAGAGACACATCTTTTACAAATATACCAGTGAATTTGACACAGGCCATTGTTCAGATACAAATATATCTGCTCCAGTACGGCTATAGTATGCTGTTCCCAAGAGAAAGCTGGAGTAAGGATCTAGCAAGTATTTTGTTGCATCTGTCTAGAAACTGTATAATACCTGGAGGATGTGGCCAGAGCAATGAGCAAGGCTTGAAGAATCCCTCTGATGAAGACAATGGGATTCTTCTTCGTGATAAAGAAGTACATCATTGGCAGAATAAACAGCCCATGAACCACTAGGCCGCAAACCACTGTAATGGCATAGAAACCCAGTTTCTTCCCAATGGCTGACGGGTCATCCATTTCTAAGATTTTACCAGCAATTAGGAACACAATTCCAAATGGAAAATACCTGAGCAAAAAGAAAGACAGTCATTATTAGGAGATAGCTTACTTCCATCAAATAGCGTGAGATGGGAAAGCCTTGTACTTCCGGCAGCAGTGCAGTAACAGCACCCTGTCTGGAAGCAGAACAGCTGGCTTCGGTTGTTTTATCAGACTAAGCCTCTCTCTCTCGCACTTGAGGAGCATGCCCGAAGCACTGGGCTAGACACTCTTATGCTGAGTACTCCTCAGCACAGCTGAGGTTATGGTGCTGGTCAGGAATGACTTTAAAACGTTTTGGTTCAGAAGGCAGCTTTGACTTTTTAGCTTAAGGCAGGTCATTTACTGGGGAGAGAGGGAATGAGTCCTAAGCTCTGTTCATGTGCTTGTGCTCGTGTGACTGCTCATGGATTTTAGTTGGATGCTGTTAAGTAAATGTTTATGTTGCCTTTGGAAGACATAGGAGAAATACCAATATGCATTCGACATGCTCTTGGACTGCCTGCAATTTGTTTCAGAGCAGATAGATAGGCAGAAGAATAGTTTCTGAACCCCCTCTGGACTGGATGTGGGATAGGTGCTTTACCAAAACTGTTGTGCTTCTCTGCATGGCTAGACACAAAGCCATGGGTGCTGAAAGCACTTAAGATTAAAAAAAAATCTGGGGGCATCCAGCCATCTTCCACTAGCAGCTGTGCCATCTCCACAGACTTGCTACTTCCCCCTCATTCTTCCAGAAATTACTACCCCCTTGGACCCATCTAACCAAGTGATCATTCCCTGACCCAGCTCAGTCAGACTGGACCAGGTAGCTGGAAACAAAGGCTGGGTGCTGGTAGTGGGATCACCCCCATGTTGGGCTGAACCACATTTGGGGACCTTCTGAAGGGTGGGAAAGATGCTAAGCTGGTAGTTTTTGTTGTTGGCAGTCACCTACTGTTCCTCTAATCTTTGGGGCAGGTGCGCTGGCAGGTCTAGCTGGCTCTCAGTGTAATTTAGGATTGCTCTGAAGGCTTTTCCTAAGTGACATGGCCTAGGATGGTTCATTGAGGGCTATTTTATTGACTTAGAGACACTCCGAGTGCCAAGCATTCTGGGTATATCATCTCCACTGTGTTCAGTGCAAAGATAGCCAAGCTAGCAGCAACCATGCTAACGACAGTACAGTCATGTCAGCACAAGAGCCCAGCCCTCTCCTGAGCAAGCTGAAGCCAGGCTAGTACTTCTAGTTGAGCAGTGCTGTAAAGGATGGAAGTACGAGCTCGAGGATCTCATTGTACTCCTCCCTTGTGTGGGCTGGATGTATTATAATCCCTCTCAGCCTGCCTGAGGATTGGCAGTGCTCCTAAGTGCATACAGCACACATCCACCCAGCTATACCATGTTTTGTTATTTGTGAGTAATATATAGGGTGCTTCTGTCAAAATGACAGTACAAATGAGGGACAGGATGTGTGTATATGTATCTTCCTTCAAATGCTGAGGCCCTGCAAAGCTAAGGGTTGCTTACCCTTATTTATTTCCCTGGAAATAAGTTTATGACATTTCTGTGCATCCTGTTCTGTTGAAATTTTCTTACTCCCTTAAAAAAATATTGATTTTCTTACTAAAACAGTTACTTACCAAACAGCAACTGCCACTATCTTCATGACAGATTCATTTAAACACTGGCAAAAGCTGACCAAAGGAACACCACTGTTCCCCATTCTTCCCAACATTATACCTGCAAACAAAGGCATTCAGGTTCAGTTTCTCAGGTGCCTCCATGCAAATCCCCAGTGCTTTCCCTCCCTGCTGTAATTCAAAGTGAACTAAGTGCGAGATGACTGGATGAATATGGATCTTCGTGCTGTAGAAACAGACATGGTATCTGAAAATCTCACCTTACACAAACACGAGAGCATGGGGGAGCCAGGCCACAGCCTTGTGCTTTGGCTCCATACAGGGCTCTCTCCCCTGACTGCGTGGTTTTTCGTTTGCAGTTCCCTGAATGTTTCCCTGTGGAGGTACTTCTGTGCTGTAGATTTAGCCCCCCTGGTAGCAAGCTTGTTTCCTTAACTATCTTTCATAGAGCCCTGAGAAGGATTTACCTGCTCTCAGGGATGCATGGAAGACAAACTGAAAGACATTTTTCTAATGAAAGAAGCTATCTGTGCCTGCAGTCTGCCTACTGCTGTGCACTGCGTAGAACTAGGCAGCATCCATGAGACACTCATGGGGCAAAGCCAGTACTGAGGTTTGTTCTGGTAATGGGGAGTGAATATGGGGGGTCTCCATCCTATTTTTAGTAGATATGTATCTACATAATAACAACCAACCCTCAAATCAGTCAGGCTTTGCAAACTTGGGGGAGATAAGGAAATGCAAGTTCATGTGCAGAAAAGCCAAATTCCTATACGGACTAACCAGTAAAGAAGAAAGCAAAGAAAATCCATTTATGTGCACCCAGCGCTCAGAAAGGAAAAGAATACAGCTCTGGGATGCGTCATCTAACCATATATTCTCCAGACAGTGTTAGTTTCCAATAATGCATATAAATAGAGATAATTTTCCTATTTTATTATTTTTCTGCCATCACTCCCTGAAAGGATTATAAGTGATCGAGTTAAGTGCTTAAGGAAGCACTTCAAAAGCTAGCTGCACCAAGTGAGACTGCTTTTGAAGGGACTTTCATGAGGAAGCAGGGGGCTATGAGTGGGGTATGAGTGGCATGCTGCCACTGGCTCTGGATATGCAGTGTCCTTGCTTTGGGCAGGAGCCTGGGCTCTGTCCCTCAGAGCCCACATCTGCACTTGCAAGCCAGGTCTCAGGCAGCACCGCTTCCAGGGCAATTCCCTCCTGAGGCAGGGAGGGAGACTCTCAGCTGTTTTATCCAGGGATTTCACAATAACAGTGCATTCAAGATGTGGGTTTATAAGCCTGTTAATATTTATCTAAGCTGTAACTTTTAGGTTGGAAAATAACACTCTTTTATTAAGCATGTTGCTCTTCTTTGGTAACAGGACATTAAATGCAGTTCAGCTTTTGTAGACTGGTTAGTGGCAGTTTTACAAGAGTCCTAACTTCTAGTTCTGTATAATGTAACAAAGAAGGAATGCTTTCTCTTTTATTTTACAGGAATAACTGAAATTTGCTCTTTAAAACACTGTCCTACCTAAGCATGTGGCTACTGGTGGGGACAGACAGGGGAGCGGGCAGGACTGGGGCTTCCTGTCTGCAGCCCTGATGTACCAAGTTCCATTGCAGTGCAAACATTTTCCTTGTAGTGAATAAATAATGTATGCTCCTCCAAGAAAAAAAGATCAGGTGTCTCAACTCTTAGCCACTTGTCATAATTTCTAACAGAAATTCCTGCACACTGTGTGAGAAGAGGTAGCATAGCTAAGCACAGCTGAGCCCAGCATCAAGGCGGTAATAAGAACTCATACCCACCCTAATGTTGTTTTTCTATGCCAAAGTGGTGTAAAAAGACCTTTGTGCAAATAAGACTCAGCCAAAGTGAGCAAAACTGTTACCAAGCACCAAGGCCTGTATACATTCTTTTGCAATAAATAAAAACTTTGGAAGGATGCTCTTCTTTCATAGAGATTCAAGCCACATGTCTCCTGTTTCATTGCTTCCATTTTTTGGGGGGTGCAGAAAGCTGAAGACAGTGACAAATGTTTGGCTTCATCCTTTGTTCAAAATGACAGTCTGAAATAGTCACTGGTAGATGACAAGTTTTGAGGGTTTAGTGTCTCAGGTTTGTTCGTGGCTGATACAGTCAGAGGTGACCCAGCAGCCGGGACTGTGCTGTACGTGGCAGTACTGGCAGTACATTTTCTGTACATCAGCCAGGAAGAAACCAGCTCTCAGCTTCCATCTCTTGAGCCCCAGGCCAGCAAGACTGAGGGGCATGGTGAAAGTAATACATTCAGTTCTGGGAAGACAATGAATGATCTTCTGTGCTCAGAAGTATAAAATTGCCCTTGATCCTAATAAGCACATGTAATTAATTCATTCATATCCAATACTTTTTGACTGGAATAGTGTTTGCTGTGACATTGTACTTTGGGAATTGACTATAAAATACTACAAACTGGGGGACTGCCAGCTTCCAGCAGTGTTGCATATGGAATACCACCCACTGGAGAAACTAAAAAAGAGAGAGACAAATCCGCTAATTCCAGGCTTGATTTTTGACCCCTTGTGCTGGTATGAACCATAATATAATAAATGCAGTCAAAAATGTTCTATAGAACTACTCCTGCTGATCAGATTAACTTCCAAGAATAAACTTAGATAAGGAAAATCTGATGAGCATTTTCTTGTAAAAATCATCAGAACTTTATGATTAACTAGGGCATGTTTGTTTAAATTCCCTCTTCCAAATCCACAAACATAATATAACACACATGGCACCAATGAGTTCCTCCAGCATGTTAAACTGAATGAATTAGCCAGACAGAAGCTCTTAGAGTCCACTGTGATAAGCTACTAGATGATATATAACTATCAGCATTGCAGGATGGCAAAAATAAAATCAAGACGTTTCAGTCAAAAAGAAGATCCACAGATTTAAAACTGATAAAACAACATACCTTTGTAGCACACTTAATCAAGATATCACTGAAGCTCATTATCTGAGTTGGGTTCTTACAGTGACAGTTATATTCTACACTAACCATGTGGTAAAACATGACTAAGAATGGGTAAAAACAACAGACAGGGCAGGTTCCAGGGCTAAAGTAATTTTCTGCCTGGTGAGGGGAACTTTAGCCAAGGAGTTGGTCTAGGACCAAGTTTTGCTTGGACTGCCAGCTCCAGAGGTGAAACGTCCAGCCATGAGAGCGGAGGGTGTCTCCGCCTGATGCCCCCTGCACCAAGAGCAGTGAGGGAAGTTCTTTATTCCTGTAATACAACACCTGGAGCTCTGGGCATTAGAAGTGTACTAACTTCTTGGGCTTTGGAAAGAAAGTCTGCTACGGACTTGCTTATTTCAAAATTTCTTGAAACTTTGTCTGGGATTTTTGCTGCTGTCCAGAGAGTGAAACAGAATATTGGCAGTGGGGCTATGGGTCTGACCCGGTATAGTAATTCCTACTTCCTCTGAGCACACTGTATTAGTGTTTCTTACAGTCAGGAAAAAATCGTTCATCAATAAAAGCTCAAAATAATCCAGAAAAAAATAAAACAAAAAGAATGTAAGTGCATGCACAGGAAACAGAACTGCATGGAACAAAAGTCATCAAGGATTTTGAAGATTTATCTTTGAAAGGTTGGGAGAACAGCTCTGTAACAGTCTTGCCTTTTCCCCCACAAAGTTTAGATAGAAGCAGTTAAAAAAGGTGAATCAAGAAACGAAGCAACCCAACCCCTATCTTTTTCTCTTAAATGGATACTTGGATTATTACAAACAAACATGTCTGAAACCTACCCATTGTGGCAGAGAATATCACAATCCCTAGCACATTCATGCCGTCACTAGTGCCTGGTTCTGACTTGTAAATCACTTCAGGAGGGGGAGTGATATCCAAGGCAAAATTCTGGACATTGGATCCATTCTCATCCTGGACTCCGTATATTATAATGCGACGAGTGGTGCTTTCAGATGATGCTTTATTAGATTTAATGATGGGAATACTCTTGGTGCGATACTGAAAGAAAACAAAATAGTTTTTATTATAATATCCCAGCAGGAATTAATAGTTTAACGAGACCTCCTAAGTGCTCTGCTTCAACAAGGCTGCATGTTAAAGGGACAAGCATGAAAAGAAGAATGACAGCTCCTGTCCCTATGCTGCTACGATCTGTAAAAACAGTTGAATTTTTGGAAAAGCATAACAAAATCAGAGTTTCCTATAATCAGACCCTTGTGCAGCAAACACATTGTCTCCTGATAAAGCTACTTTCCTATAAGACATAATTGGGAATGACTCCCTAGAGCTTCTCAGTGCCCTTCTCTTTGTCTCACCAGAGGTAATGTTCCCATGAAATATTCCCCCAGGTGAAATAAACGTAGCCATGCCTCTTGCTCACTCAGAACTTTTAGATGAGGTTTTCTGGCCAAATTCCAATCTGAGTAATTAGATTCTTCCCAAATACATTATTTTGTTGCTTTAATTGGACATGGTATCCTGTTCTTCCCTTGCAGGGTGTTACTGTGTGTTCTTAAAGAGATTCCAGCTACTCTGTGACCGCAGTCCCATGATAAGAGAAACCATGCTCTAGCATAAATGGCATAATAATGCCAATAACTGGCATAAATTGTTCTGCTTTCCTACAGCACCTTTCTCAAGGTCCTCAAAGATCTAGCCTCACGTGGAGGTGGAGCTGACAGAGGTGTGCATGCCTATTCTCTAGTCACACTGTGCATTTTATGCTTGTTTGTTTTGCCTTCGGATACCAAGGCTGCTGAAGCTAATGGAAAGGGACTCTGTTAATTCCTAAATGCTAAAGGCGCTAACAGTATCTGAAGTAATATGCAATGTCTGTATCTGGATTCTGTTTTATGAAGATACATGTTTTATGTGATGCTGTCTCATCTCTTTCATCTATTCAAAAGGAATATAGCCACTTACCTGCTTGAATGTGGCCTCAACAAGATTGGCTGGAAACATGTTCCTAAAAATGAACAAATAAAAGAATAATTTCTATGGAACTGAAAACAACTTCTGTTTACTGTGTCTTGGGTCTCCCACAACAAATTAGTTATTCACCCTCCTAGAGAGCAAGGCTGGATGGGTGCAGAAAACTGCCACTCTTTTCCACTCATGCCATGCAGCTGTACCTGACTGAGCAAGGCTCAACAGAGAGACAGTTCCTCAGAATTAAAGTTTTGGGACTTGCTTCTAAATACCAGGACCGAGACCCAGGAGCTCTAGTTTCAGTTTCTGGCTCTGCCACAGTCTCCATGTTGTAACTGGGGCAACATAATTGCTATCATTCCCTTCCCCATCTGCTAACTGGGGAGAAGAATATTCCTTTATTGCATATTTTGTCTTCCCTACTTATATAATGAGCTGTTCAAGACAGAGTCAGTGTTCAGCGGTGTATTCCTGAGACTCCTGGGTGCTGTAATCTACTTTGGGACTTCTAAGTACTCTTATGATATGACTCATAAACTGTAGTACCTCCTGATACACTTTCATCACTAAAATTACAAGCAATGTAGACTTCGCAGTGGTTTGGTCAAGAACAGTTTTCTTTTCAAAAAGAGGATCTCATTCCTGATTAAAAGAATTGAGATTAGAGCTGTACAGTCTCTGCTAAATTTTATCTTAATATGGTTCTGAGACTTCAGAACAAGAGTCTGAAGTGAGGCCAGCAGCTTCATCGTTGCACACAGCTGAGCTACAGAGGAAGACAATGGCCATATGCTGTGAGATGTGCAGTGAGACCAATAGATTCTTAATTGCAAAACAGACTCTTCTTGTCATCTTTTCTGACCTTCTGTGTATCTCAGTCCATAACATCTCACCCAATGATATCTAGCGCTAATTTATAACTTCAGTTTGAGCAGATTACTACTTTGCAGAAAGACATTCAATTGTAATTTGAAATGGAGAGCACACCCTCTACAGGCTTCAAAGAGGAATCATAGTATAGTTGGGCAAAAAAGCTAAAAAGTCATATATTTCCATACAGCATTTGGGAATCAAGATTTGTGTGATGATTCTAATAGGATCATTTTCAGACCTGATTTATTTTCAGCTCAAAGCTTCTGAACCTAGAGGCAGAAGACGGTGACAGCCTATGACCCTATTACATGCTTTCATATACGTATATTTATGCAAGGAGAAACTCCTGAATTCTCTAACCAAAAGACTTTTTATTCAAAGTCCTGCTCAAGCTCCAAGACAGGACAACACCTAAGTGTATGTGAAAAGCCCATTCCCGTTCCAAAGAGAATTGCTATATATATGAACAGTTAAATGCATACTGAACTGAGATGTTTTCCCGACCTGCTTTCCTCTTTGCAGCAGCAGCATATGCCTGCTGCTAATAGAGTCACAGCAAAAGCATTGCTGTGCAGCACTGGCTTAGAAAAAAACAATTCTATTGCTATTTTAAGTGATCATAATGTGACATTATGGTCGCACTTAAAATTATGAGGTAAAATCTGTTTCAGTAGCATCAGGCACTGAGAGCAATTGCTACAAAGAGATAATTATCCTTTTCAGGGTAAAGCAGAGGGAGAAGAATTTTAAGTAAAGGGTAGTAGTACTGTCTAATGATTGAAACAGAAGATTGAAAATGAGGGGGTTTCGTTGGCTTGCTGTGTGAGAATGGACAAGCCACATAAATGCATCATTGGTCTTTTTGGTAAGGCTGTTGCTTTAGGGCAAACTAGAGTTCCACAGACAAGTTACTATGAGGCAAGATACGAGGTTGATGTGCAGCACTTTAGTTACTCTTTAACTGTTCTGGCCTTTCCTCGCCTCAGTGCAGGTGAGGCAGTCCAGTTTACCTACCCCTTGCAGCCTGATGTGCTACCTGGCA